ATATATTATAATTGTTTATTATTATCTTATGTGTCATCTAAAGAAATTGTCCACTTAAATATTCACGTAAGCAAAATTTAATAGATATGTATGTAAGTTATAATATAATATTATATATGATTAATAAAATAATAAAATTTATTATTATATTAAGAATTTAAAAATATTATTATTTTATAGTTTAAAATTGTTATCACATGTAAATTTTAATTTAATATTTTTAATTATCATTTTTTTCTCATCATAATTTAATTCATTGCTATCGCTCCATCAATATTCTAATATATTTTTTAATAATTAATTTTATTTTTACCACTATTTTTTAATGTTAGTGTTCATCCAATATATCCTAACTCTTTTGAATTTTGTTGAATGAAAACAAGATAACATTTAAAGTCGCAAATAATTACGACTAGTAATACCGCACTAAGATAACGGAAAATCTAGGGTTAAACTCCTTAATCCAAAAAAGAAGAAAAAGAAATCCCTACCACCATGACCCGTGTCAACCACAACTAGCCACCATTGTTCGGCTTTCAACTCCATTAATGGAGCAGCAAAAGCTCTTGGATTATAGCCTTTGATTACAACACCCAACGGTATATTATATAGGCCTATACTGATAATCTAAAAAGATTTTCAAAATAGTTTCTTGTTATATGGTAATCGGTAATATTATCGCGGAAGAAGAAAAAGACAGCCAAGGAGAGGCCATCGATACGTGGAGCCTTCATCATCACTAAAATTTCTTTGAGTCCGTTGATGAAATAAATTAAGAGGCTTGAGTTTAAGGAAAAAAAAAAACCCTAATCAATTAAAAAACTAATTAATAAATTTTTATTTAATTAGATAGTTAAAATTTAAAACATTTCTTTTGGAAGACCTTTAAAGTTTAATTTTTGTTCATTAATGATGTGTCACTCTTTCATTAATGGATAACTATCAATATATCAAATATAAATCTAATTTTTAATAATAAAGAATTCAACTTCCTAGAAATTAGTATTGACATGTTAATAGTAATATACAATTTTAAGCAGCATAACCTAAACCTTGATTTATGTTGAAACAGACTGCTCAAGGGACAAAATCTATCAGGCACTCTCCCACCAGAATTGGTCAGCCTCCCTTTCCTCCAAGAAATGCAAGTACCTTTCCATACTTCTTTTCAAGATCTATAGCTTAATGCGCTTGTCATCTTAGTTTACATCAATTCATTGACTATATATCTTTATTTCTTTTTATGACTGACTATATTTAATTTGTTGTTTTGAACTCTTCTTACAGAGACCTCACGCGCAACTATCTTAATGGCACCATTCCTCCTAAATGGGGTTCTATGCAACTCGTCAGCATGTATGTTTTTTTCATGTGTATGTATGTATGTATGTATGTATGGATGGATGCATGCATAGCATTTCTATCGCCTTCCATATGTATTCACACATAGCTAGACAACTATTACAGTAATAGACAATACACTTTTTATTTCAAATTGAATGTTCATTTTCGTTTTTTTTTTTTATTTGATGATTCATAGTTATATATATATATATATATATATATAATTGTTTCATAGTTTGTTTGGTCAATGTACAGTATTTTGGTAGCAGGATTAATTCTTTAATTCCCTGATTTCTTGGATGCATAAACGCATTTGCAGTTCCCTTCTTGGAAATCGTTTAACAGGTTCAATCCCAGTAGAGCTGGCGAACCTAAGCAATCTTACCAGCTTGTGAGTTGCTTTATAGCAAGTTCTCATCATATATTTGTCGTTTGATTTTTCATTTCGACAAATGTTCAGAAGGATATTTGTTTTGAATGTCTAATGGATTAATGTTATTTTTTGAAAAATGTGCAGAGTCCTTGAGCACAATAACTTTTCAGGAAATTTGCCTCAAGCCCTAGGGAATCTGTCCAAGATTGAGACACTGTGAGATACCCTTCCTCTTCAAATTCTATCAGAATTTCATTTCATTGTGTAGGATTTTCCTTATTATATAAAGTGATTGAATTTGTTTAAATCTTTCATTTATCTACTTGAATATCGCTACATATTGGTTTGAATCATTTCCATATCCTCGAATGAATATCTGCTTTCCTCTTGGTATTGTTAATGTTGCTGGCTTAGCAGGTTTCTTAATTCCAACAATTTTACTGGAGAATTGCCTGAAACATTTGCTAAGCTGACTACAATGAAGGAGTTGTAAGCTTCTAATGTTCTTCTCTGCATTTCATTCAGAATTGATATTATATATTTTTATATGCTCAGATTGATTACTATGTAGTTATATACTGGTTATGATTATTTTGTTTTCTCAACAGTCGAATAAGTGACAACAACTTCGCAGGAAATATTCCTGAGTTCATATTTCAGAATTGGAAAAAACTAGAACAAATGTGAGAACTTCAATTCATTTTTGTAATTAGAAATATTTTGCTGTGTTTTATCAATCATTTAAAATCAATCCAACTTTGGTAATGACAGATATATTCAGGCAAGTGGTTTGAGTGGGCCAATTCCAGCCATTGGTTCTTTAGAAAATTTAACATACTTGTAAGCAATGGATCTTAGATTTTGAAGATTTCAGTATCTATAACATGGGATATTGTCAAGTTGGATATTGGTTTATACTTTGCAGAACAATTAGTGACTTGAATGGAGGTGAAGCACGTTTTCCACAACTTAGTGATTTGCCTAAATTGGAGAGACTGTAAGTAAAAACTCTGTAATAAGGCAGAGATTGATTGAAGTTCTGATATTTATTTTCACTAACTGAATTAATGGAATATTTGTGATTGTACAACAGGATATTGAGGAGTTGCAATCTCATTGGAGAGCTACCTGCTTCTCTTGAGGCATTGACAACAGTGCAGATCTTGTGAGTAATAGACCTGGTCTCTTTCTTATTTATTTATTTTTTTTATAAAGACAACCGCATTATGAGGATAATAGTAGGGGTTATAGATACAGAATTTGAACTTCAAATTTAATGTCATTTTGTATGACTGATTGTATGAATTATGAATTAACTGAACTAACTTTCAATTCCTGATTTTTTTCTTTAACGGAAGAAAAGCTCTCGGAGAATTTTATTTATTTATTTTTATACATCTTACTTCTAAATACACTTTAAATTTAAAATTCAATTTTTTATTTATACTATATATACCCTCACCTCTCACTTTCTATTTTCTATTCTTACATTTTCTTTTTTTTCTCTTTTCACTTTCAATAAAAAAAATCATAAATCAATCAAATTAACCATAAAATACTTTTGTTTTTAAGTTTTTCGGTGATTAAAGGTGAGATTCTTACTTAGTTTTATAATTGATTTTGGTTGAATTGTGTTTTTGACTTACTATTTGTGATAAAATTTAGGTGAAATCAAGATTTTTTGAAATATATATTCAAAAAACTTTAAAATTTTTCAAAAATTGATTTAAGAGAAACTTAAAGGATTTTTGAAAATCCATCATTTCCCATAAGCTTTATTTCCGATATACTTTAAAGCTTTTTGAAAATAAATTTCTAAAAAGATTAAAGATTTCTCAAATATGAATATCTAAAAATCTTTTAAGTTTATCAAAAATTTATTTTTGAGAATTTTGATTAAAAATAACTTAATTAAAAATATATACACTTATTGATATTTAATTGATCATGCGTGTGAATAAAAAAGATATGATAGTTCTTACTTGGTATAATAACTTAGCACTTTAAAGAACATTATAATGGCAATAGCATATTGGCAAAACCAGATTTAAACGATTATATCTCGGAAAAATCATTAAAGACCTATTTAAAGATCCTAGCAAGGGATATTGTCAAAGTCAATGTTTCTTATAGTGCCAAAAGATTGAAATCTATTTTCTTGTACCTAATACAACCAAGAAACTGAGTACTCTCTTTCCTTTGGTTTTTGTTTTAAAATTATTAGTTTTATTTGAAATGATAGAAGAATATTTGTACACTTTAAATACTTAATTTATGATTAAAATTTTTTTAATATTATTTATTTTAAGATTAAATGTATTTATTTTATTTAAATTAAAATTAAACATTATAAAAAATATATAATTAAATATATATTTAAACAAATTTTATGTATATTCAAAAATAAATTTTCAAATATACAATATAACTCTCAAAAATCTATTTCTTAAGATGCAATATAATTTTCCAAAAAACTTAAAGGCTTATTGGAAATGGATATCCGAAGATCTTTTTTAAGTTTTTCAAAAATCCATTTATGAGAAACTCAATTAAGAATGACTTAATTTGACATATATGCATTGATGGATCAATTTACTTGATCATATATGCGAATAGAAAAAACATAATAATTCTTACTTGATATAATAACTTGGCACCATAAAAAACATTATAATATTTTCAGTAAACTGACAATTCCAAATTTAAACAATCATATATTAAATAAATTATTAAAGATCCCCTTAGAGATTCTAACAATGGACATTGTCAAATTCGATGTTCCTTTTTATGCTAAGAGATTGAAATTTATTTTTCGTATCTAATGCAACAAAAAAATTGAAATACCTTTTTCCTTTGATTTTTGCTTTAAAATTGATGATTTTATATGAAATAATAGAAGAATATTTATACTGTTTAAATACTTACTTTATGATTAAATTTTTTTAGTATTATTTATTTTAAAATTAAATATATTTATTTTATTTAAATTAAAATTAAATGTTATTAAGAGTTTATAATTAAATATATATTTAAATAAAAATTTATGTATATTTAGAAATTGATATCCAAGAGTTATATTGTATTTTGAAAATTCATTTTCCAATATGCAGTTCAATTCTTGAAATTCATTTTCAAGATTTAGGGTCTAGTGTATGTGAAAGAGAGATGAAAAAGGAAGAAAAAGAACGAAGAAAACAGGATAGAAGAAGAAGGTGATTTGCGGTGTATAAACTATTGAAAGTATTTTTGTCATTTAGTAAAGGCTAAAATTGATGTTTGCTATGTGAGTATTTTAAAAGAAAATTTAAGGTGTGTACAAAGAAGATTTTGTGATATAATAAGAATTCATCAAAGCTCTCTTTCAATTTTGTTTCATATCTCTTTTGTTTTGATGAATTATGATGTTCTTTTTGGGTATTGTTATTTTTTGATGACATAAGAATGTTCTTGTAGTGGGACATAATTTAGTTGTGAATTTTGATGCTTTGTTCCAAGAAAATAATTGAGAAAATTTTCAGAGACAGCATGGGGTTTTAATACCCTTATATAAATTTTCTTGCAGAGATCTCAGCTTCAACAGACTCAGTGGGGAAATTCGAAATCTTTCTGCACTTAATTTGAAACAAATGTGAGGATACGATTTTTTATTGTAAACTTTCTTTTTCTTTTATTTATTTTTTTTGTACAGTGGATTCAACAGGAAAGATTTTGCAGGAGCTGCTGAGGTTAAAGCCCCAGCCCTGCAGGAGTTCCACTTCCACCCTAAGGGCAGTGGGTGAACCATGTATTTTCTTCACCAAAGGGCAACCACCCATTTTTAGTGGTGGAATACAAAGTTTAAGCTGATTCTATGACTATAATCATCTAATTAATTAGCACCAAAGATTTAGCAATCTAGAAATGTGTGGGTCATGCAATAGATCAACTAAAGTACACTTGTTCCTTTGTCAGAGGATGTATAAATTTACTTCTTTCAGTATCCTCAGATTTGTCATTATAACTGACAAACCTTCCTGATAAGTTTAGTGCTGAAATATCTAATTGCAGAAACTTGATGTCAGGTTTTTAAATGGAAACAACTTTACTGGAGCAGTCCCTCCATGGATAAGGGAAACAACAAAGGATATGTGAGATTCTCTTCCTAATGTTCAATTACATTAATTATATGCTCAACAAGTTTGATCATTCATAACACTTTTTCAAATAACCAAAATGAAGTTTGATGCTTCAATTTACAAGGTGAAACTTGTAAAGTTAAGTGCTATGGCATAAATTTTACCCCTGCTTTAGCTATGGCATGTGGCCTCAAAAACTTGATTGCACAAAAGGAATTAGATATCAGTTTATTGTAATTTATGATTGAATCGAAGAGAAATTCATTACCGCTGAATTAAACTAATATTCTGAACTATTCTATTTGCAGGGATCTCTCATATAACAACTTCACAAGCACAGGTGTTTCAAGCTGCCAACAAAGTGGCCTGTACGAACATTCTCATCTAAGTTTGTTTTTTGGGTTTTTGTTTGTGTGTGGATCTCTCATATAATAGCTATAGTTATATAATGTTCTTATTGTCTATAGGAACTTGTTTGCAAGCACTTCAAGGATCTATAACTCGTAAGTGTCAAGACAACAATAATTAAACTTCCATATCTTCGACAGACTGCGGTTTTGCTGTTATAATGCTTAACTTTTTTCTGGGACTCATGATTGTTTTACCAGTGGAATTGTTTCATGTTTGGAAAGCCCTAACTGTCCAGCAGAACGTAAGTAGAAATTCCTATACTTCTTAACGATGTTAGGTTCTCGTAATGGAACTGTAATTCTTTCTAACATTTTCTCTATAAAACTTTGCTGTATTTATCTTTCAACCTTTCTTTGATAGTTAGGGAACAAAGGGTTTAACATTTAAGTAATAAAAGGTTTTCAATTCACTCTGATTACCATCCAAATGCTAAGATGCTAGGGTTATAGATTATTATGATTTTCATAAAAAATTAATCATACACCTGCTATGTTTCCTGAGAGACTTAAAGAAGTATCGGGGTCTTTTATCTTATGTATCTTCCATCAAAAATACGTACTGCATACTTCAGAATATTCTCTCCTTTTCTTTAAAAAATAGCCATCTTTCTGCAAATGCTCTAGCCTATGCTGCTATACCAAGTACTTGACTCATTTGAGATTGACAATTGGCAGTTGAGATCCACTATTTGTGTAACTTGTACTTAGCTGTCTCCTAAGTCTTTTTAACCTTGTGTCTGGAGGAAATTTACAGCTAAGCACTTTGCAGATGGGAAAGATGAATGAAAAAAAGATTAAGTTGCTTCCCATTGCCTGGGAGACAAAAAAGAGAGAACTTAAATCAGTTTAAATTTCCCTGAATTCTGGTGTCCTCTTCCCCTCTCCCCATCCCTCTGCCTATATAAAAGGTAAAGAAAAAAGGAGGATGAATAGGATGAGAAAGGCCTCGTAATGTTTTCTTCTTTTCTTCTTTTATTCTTTTCTTCTTTTCTTTGTGACTGATTCACTCTATATTTTCCTCCAATACTTACTGAACTGTTGTTTTTAAACCTCAGCTTTGCACTCTATTTTTATAAACTGTGGAGGGAGCACAGAAACTTTTAATGATACAACGTTTAATGATACAATCTATGAAGCTGATGATGATGGAGCTGGGCCTTCAACATATTTTCGAAGTAAATTTTTCCCAAGTACTTGGGCATTTAGCAGCACTGGTATTTTTTTGGATGATGAGAAGAACCCGGACATCCTTGTTTTGGAAAATACACAGCTTTCGAGTAGTGGTGGTGAACTCTACAAAAATGCACGACTTTCACCTAGCTCTTTGACTTACTATGCATTCTGTCTGGATAATGCAACATACACCGTAAACCTCCATTTTGCAGAGATACAGTTCACTGATGGTCAAAATTATAGCAGTTTAGGGAGGCGGATATTTGATATTTACATTCAGGTATTGCACTATTATTCTTCTTACAAAGTTCTGACATTAGAGAAACTTCAAAACTATCACATTCTACTTGATTTGAGCTAGTGAAGGAGCTTCAGCCTTATATGGATTCAAATCCAATCCCTGGTTAGTGGAGTTGACCGCCAGATCACAAGGAGGATTATGGTCACAATTCTGCCAATATTGCAGTATTGCACTGCGGTTTGTTATGATTTGTGGCACAGAATCAGGGATTGGATTTTAATCCTTATTATGGCCAATCAACTTGAAATTTCTAGCATCCTTTACAACATGTGACTGCATAGAAAGTTTGGATAAATGGAATGGATAATTGCAGGGAAAGCAGGTGCGGAAGGATTTCAATATTAAGGATGAAGCAGGTGGGGCTGGCAAACCAATTGTGAAAAATTTTACTGCAAATGTGACTGATGGTACTTTGGAGATCCGTTTGCATTGGGCTGGAAAAGGGACAACATCTATTCCCGTGAAAGGAGTTTACGGTCCTCTTATCTCAGCAATATCTGTTATTGATCCTGGTAGGTTGTCAACTGGAAGATTCTTATCGTCTCTAATTGTTGCAAACTGCCTCGTCTTGTTCAAAACCATGCTATTTTAGTGGCTTTGTCACATATTAAATATAGCTAGGAAATTTCATTTTAGATCATGCTACTTGTGCTCCTTAAGATTCTAGGAATTCTACTTGCTGAAACTCTTACTTCTTTTGTCTTGTACAACGTTATCACCTTTTGTTATCATAAGGATATAGGATGTGTTTATTTTTGTTTCACCTTTTATTTGAGATTTTGTTTGGGATGATAAATTAATTCTAGTATTCAAGAAAGTGTCTCAGTAAATATACTTACTTCAATGAATTTAATTCAGATGCTATTGGATTTTACATTTTGTCATCTGATAATGAGTTTGAGAGAGAAATTTCAAATTGAGACCACCTTAGAGGAGAGTTGTCCTTGTGACAAATTCACGGGAGTTCAGGCTGGAATGGTTGTTTCCATAGCTTTTCTATATAGAGTTTCCTTAATTCTTCATGGACAAGTTAGGTTGGACCCTGTTACTTTCTTTTCTTTTTTGATTTTCTTAATCACACCTATATATTTCTCCATTATTTCCAATTGAGTTGAATTATGCTATCAACCAACAGTGCCATCTCATCTTGCAACTAACTTCTTCAAAATTTTCTTCAACCAGATTATAGACCTCCATCAGAAAATGGAGGTGGTATCACTGCAGGTGCGGTGGTTGGTATTGTGGCTGGAGCAGTGGCTGGAACAGTATTCGCTACTTTCCTGATTGTGGGCATCATTTGGTGGAATGGCTGTTTAAGACGGAAGAGTACATTGGAACAAGGTATTTGGAGAGAAATCAATATCTCTGTTACTTCCGAGCTTTGTGAGCTTGTTGACATGAAATGATAGTGTAATAACATACTACTAGGACATGAATCCACCCCTTCCCCATTTCACCATTTTGGGAAGAAATAGGGAACATAATCGGTATCCATAGGAATCCAGAGATTTTAGAAGCTATATTATAAATATGTTTCTTATTTAGCTTAGCTTCTTCAACAGATCTAAAAGGTATAGAATTACAGACCAGTTCCTTTACCTTAAGGCAAATACAAGCTGCTACAAACAATTTTGATGCTACTAATAAGATTGGAGAAGGTGGTTTTGGTCCCGTTTACAAGGTATCACGTGCAACACATTCTTTCTTCTGATTCTTTGCATTGTGACCATCCTTACTGCAGCAGTTACTCCAGGTACTTTGTTGTTGATTGAACCTCGTAATGTTTTTCAAATGCAGGGCATTCTGGCAGATGGTACAGTAATTGCTGTTAAGCAGCTATCAGCTAGATCAAAGCAAGGAAATCGTGAGTTTGTGACTGAGATTGGCATGATTTCAGCTCTACAACATCCTCATCTAGTAAAGCTGTATGGATGTTGCATTGAAGGAAATCAATTGATGCTTGTATACGAGTACTTGGAAAACAACAGCCTTGCTCGTGCATTGTTTGGTAGATCTTGTCCACAACTTACTTTAACTCCATTTGTTATTAACTAGATTGATGAGCAAGCACATATATGTACACACACCCAAAATAAGACCTGTGGATGCTTGTTATAAATAATGTATGAATAGATGTATGGTTAGTATATCTGAGCTTCTCTTTATTTGGTTATTAAAGGCCCAGAAGAATTTCAGTTGAAACTGGACTGGCCAACAAGACGGAAGATTTGCATTGGTATCGCAAGAGGCTTAGCTTATCTCCATGAAGAATCAAGGTTGAAGATTGTTCATAGAGACATTAAGGCAACCAATGTGTTGCTTGATAAGAATCTAAACCCTAAAATATCTGACTTTGGTTTGGCCAAGCTGGATGAAGAGGACAATACCCACATTAGCACCCGAATTGCTGGAACTTAGTAAGTCTCAGTTCATATTGATTGTCAGTGTGTTCCTTTTCTTCATTTATTTGCTTTTGGGTTTTTCTCAAATGCCAATGAATGAATGATAGAAAATTTCCCAGAATATATATATATATATATATATAATGCACAAATACACAGAAATTTGCTTGTATGTATATTCATTTTCACTCTTAACAAATATTTGACTGTACATAAATTTCTAGGTTAAGTGGTTTCCAAGGCAATCCACCAAGATAAGTGTTATAATGACTGCAATACTGTTCTTTTTTATATATACAAATGCCTAACACACACAAAAAAAAAAAAAGCTGTATTTAATTGATCTTCTTAACTTTGCAGTGGCTATATGGCTCCTGAATATGCAATGCACGGTCATTTAACTGACAAAGCTGATGTATATAGTTTTGGGATTGTGGCCCTTGAAATTGTTAGTGGCAAGTGCAACACTAAAACCTGGTCAAAGGAAGAACCTATCTATCTCCTTGATTGGGTAACTGAGCTCTTATTCTTTCCTCTATTGTTTATCCATGTTGATATGCTGTCTTACCAAAATTAAATGAGAAGCCTGTTAAATGACAAACTGACAATATCATGCTTGTAGAACAGAAGGAATGAGTCATTGAATATTCCAAGCTGGGTAATCATTAAATGAGGGAATTTTACTGTTTTGGGATTGCAGTTCATTGGAAATATTGATGTTTCATTCCTATTATAGCAAATGGAGATTATGCATTTGTCAGTTTTGAGTATAAAATGAATCTTAATGTGGAAATTGAATCTTGTGTTTCTAGGCTCATGTTTTGAAGGAGAAAGGGAACATATTGGATTTAGTCGATCCAAGAATAGGCTCTGATTGCAACGTAGACGAGGTGATGGTGGTGATCAATGTAGCTCTCCTATGCACAAATCGTACTGCTGCAGCTAGGCCTTCCATGTCTTCTGTGGTGAGCATGCTTGAAGGCAGGGCTGCTGTTCAGGAGTTCTTTACTGATTCAAGTATTTCTGCAAATGAGTTGAATGTTGATGCTGTGAAAAAGTTGTACCAGAAACTTGAAGAAAATGATGCAGATTACAGCCAGACAAGGAGTATGTTAGCGGATGGGCCATGGACTTCTTCTACATCTGCTGCTGATCTCTATCCAGTCAATTTGACTTCTGGTTATTGGCAGAATAGAGATTCAACAAATTAAGAAAATTGTCTGATTAACAGTAGGGAAACCTACGAGTCAGACAACGTACATTTTTCTTGTTTACCTTAATTCCCCCCACGGTTAGCACTATTTCTTTCTTTCAAAATTTGGATTACCGTATTTATGCAGTTGCAAAGGATAATAATTAGTGTGATTTGAAAAATAGTACATTTCAAGAGAAAATAAATCAAAACAATGTCCTTTGACTGAAGTCATTTTTACTTAAAGCTAATAACACAAAACTATGATTCATGTCCTTATTTTGTTTCAATTTCCAGATAGGATAGGCAACAGAACTAGTGTCAGGAGGAACAGGATTTCTATACTAGCACATAGTTGCCAGCAGGTTTCAATCAATTCCAGATTTCATGGCTGTTACTTCTTCCACACTTACCCTATGCGGTCTTTTTTTATGACTCTTTGATGGAATATGCTAAGAATTCTATAGCAGTTTTTGGCCAGGGGACGAATGATTCCACATCGGTGATATATTAGTAATCAGCATTCACTAACAACCATTGCTGTTCTTTTCACTGGAACCATTGTCACATCTGGTGCACTTGTGCACAACACTGTTATCTTGTTAGACATTACTTCATTTTTCGTTTTCGTCTCTAGGAAATTTCTTGAAGTTTCAACCACCCTGTAACAACTTGAAGAAAACAACAGAGGATGATTAGTGTGAGAGCATAATAACATCTCCTGGTATTTGAGTCACCATTGTTCCGGGCCACAAGGCATAGAGCTTATCCATTTCTTAGCTATGCTTACTAACCCCTTATAGAATTTGAATAAGGTTTGTTCAGTTCATTCATAGCGTGTCAATCACATCTCCAACTTCAGAGAATTAAGAGACAATTCATTTCGTTTTTAAGAATTTTTTTTTCCTTTCCACAAACATGAAAAATGCAACAGCAGCCGCTGCAGCATGAATTCATATAAAATTGTTGTCAGTCAGTCCATCTATGTCAATCCTTTTCAAGAAATCATTGTCAATGACATTTCATGAATTTGTTATTGCATGGAAACCAAACAAAAGAGGCTATAAAGGGGGTTCATTACAGCTGTTGCTTCCATGAAATAAGTAATCCAAAGACATTTCAAATTTCTACTTTATTATATTATTTATTTTTCAAGTAAACAAGAAAAACACAAAAAAAATGAATCAGAAGAGTAAAAGCAAGAAAAGTTTAACGTATTCAGCAAACTTGCAAGTTGTTAGTTGTAACCAATCATGGTTACACAACAAAGAGGTTTTGTCTTGTCTGCAAAAAGTTCGGAGAGTACAACTGCAAAAAGAAGCCAAAAACATAACAAAATTGTTGAAGAATTTTCCAAAATGTTATGTTCTTTGTTTGGTTATCAGCTAGGATTTCTTGCATAAAAAATATATATATATATATATATATATTTTGGTCCCAACTTTGTTAACTGGCAGTTTTCCAAGTTTGGTTTCGGAATCCTAGCCCTTGATGCTATGCGTCGGCTCCTTCACTTGGACAGCCCTACAACAAAAGGTCGTTACTTTTAGGCAGTTCCAAACCACCTATTAGTAATTGTTCAGTTTCAGGATTCAGGAGTGATCCAAGTCCATACTGAGATGAACTTTTGTCATATTTTTTATTTAAGATTGTCTGAATTTAAATTTTAATCTCTGAAACTAAAAATCCAACTCTCTACCAACAATTCATGGCCAACAGTACACAGGCCGTTGACAACTTTTGCCACTTTGAAAGATGTTTTTAGTTGCAAAAGAAGAAACACTTAGAAGAAAAGAAAAGAAAAGAAAAGGCAGTTTATGGGAGCTTTTGTCCACCAAAAACTAGAACTAATTTTGAGAAAACTCTAAAATAGATAGCTTTTTAGAGAGAACAAGTTCTTGAAGGTCCCATATAACAATTTCTGAAAAGAGTATGATGATGGCCAAGTTTAACAATCGTTTGCTTTGTTTTTTGCCTTCTCACGTTTGTTTAGAAGGGCCAAGCACGAACCAATAGTTAGGAACCGCATCAAATTTGTCTCACATGAATATTTCTTCTATTTGTTTTTATCTTGCTTTTATTTATTTTTTATTATTATTTTATTCACCAGAGTTTTTAAATTTCATTAACAAAACTTTTTTTTTTTTTTATTGTTGAGGCTATCAAGTATTAAATCTTGATCATTACGGGTGTTTGATAAAACCATCTAAAATTTAAAATCATTGAAAATTAAAATTTTTAATGGTTTTATTTTTCAATGATTTGATAAATCATTTTAAAAATCCACTTAATTGAAGATTTTCAATGAAAAATATTGAAAATGCTCAGTAATTTTTAGCTACTTAATTTATTAAGTCAATTTTAGTTAAGAAAAAACTTATTTAATTACATTAATCTTATTTTTTTAAAACTATTTATCCTTTTCCTTCTAACTTTTACCAATTATAAAATCAAATTATTTTATAAAATATTAAAAAATTACAAAATATTTAATTTTCAGTCACATAAATTTAACACTTAAAAATTTTAAAATTAAAAATTCAATAATTAATCGTAAATGTTTTAATTTATTCAGCTTATCAAATAACATTAAATCCAACACTTTACGAATCACGTGATGAGTTCTTTTATTTATCATATTAATTCATTCATTATTTTAAATATCTATTTTATATAAAATGTATTAGGAGTGAAATTACACCAACTCAATTAAAGAATTTATCATTTCTTTTAGCATTTGAAAGTGTGTGCTTCTCATGTGCGCTTTAACGTAACTTTTAAATAGCCTTAAATTTGTGCTCTAAACCTCCTTTTCCGAAACCACTAAAATCCCCTAAATATATTAAGTTTAGAAAATGGAACTAACTGCCAAGTATTTGATTTAGGATATAAATTAAATTTGGATTAATTTGATTTAGCATAAAAAGAAAAAAATTAAAAAAAAACTAATCAAATCAAATTATATATTTTTATTAATTTTTATATATTTAAATTTTTATAAAATAAAATAATAATTTTATATTAAAATATATTAAAATTTATATAAAAATTAAAAAAATTAAATTTCAAAAATAAAAAAAAGTCAAATTAAATTAATAAAATTAAATTCAAATTAAATCACATAAAAATTCGATTCAAATTTATATTAAAATTTTAAAATTTATAATATTATATAATATAAAAATACTAAATCGAATTCAATTGAAATCGTTATCATTTTCAAATAAAAGTGCAATTATCATGAAAAAATTTGTCAACCGCTATTTAAAAATCTAAACAATTAATATAGTGGTGCAAGACGATTTATGGCTTATTTTCACAGCAACAATTGCTTTATTTATTTATTTATTTATTTATTTATTATTATTATTATTATTATTATTATTATTATTATTCTTTTTCTCTCATTTGAGCTGCGAATTTAAGTACTTCATACCTATTTTTTTATTTTATTTAAAAATTATATAGCAATTTTATTAGCTTAACGTAAAATAAATTTGTTTTGAGCTACTAATTTCAGTACTTCACACCTATATATTTTTATTTTTTTATTTTGATTTTTATTTAAAAATTGTATAGCAATTTTATTATCTTAACATAAAATAATTTTTTTATTTGATGTAGATTAAATTTAGATATTAAATACATAAAATAAATTTGGATACATTGAATTTAGGATAAAAAATTAAAAATTAAAAAAAAATTAAACCGAATCAAATCAAACTATATATTTTTATTAATTTTTATATATTTAAATTTTTATAAAATAAAAATAATAATTTTATATCAAAATATATTAAAAAATATTAAAATTTTATATTAAAATAATATATAAAAAATTTTAAAAATTAAAATTTAAAAATCAATAAAATAAATCAAATTAAATTAATAAAATTTAATTCGAATCAAATCATATAAAAATTTGATTTAAATTTATATCAAATTTTAAAAATTTATAATATTATACAATATTAAAACATTAAATTAAATTCAATTGGAATCGTTATTATCTTCAAATAAAAGTGCAATTATTATGAAAAGATATGTCAACTGTTACTTTAAAATCTAAACATTTAATGTAGTAGTGTAGGACAATTTACAGCTTTTTTTTTTTTGCAGCAATTGCTTTATTATTATTTTTTATTAATTTTCTTCTTCTCTCCTTTGAGCTACTAATTTCAGTACTTCAAACCTATTTTTTTATTTCGATTTTTATTTAAAAATTATATAGCAATTTTATTAGCTTAGTGTAAAATAAATTTTTTAATTTGACGTATATTATATTTAGATATTAAATATATAAATTATATTTAGATATATTAAATTTAGGATAAAAATGAAAAATTAAAAATAAATCAAACCGTATCAAATCAAACTATATATTTTTATATTTTTATAAAATAAAAAAAATAATTTTATATCAAAATTTAGTAAAATTTTATATTAAAATAATATATATAAAAAATTAAAAAAATTAAATTTCAAAAATCAATAACTTAAATCAAATTAAATTAATAAAATTCAATTTAAATCAAATCACATAAAAGTTTAATTCAAATTTATATCAAATTTTAAAAATTTATAATATTATACAGTATAAAAACACCAAATCAAATTCAATTGAAATCGTTATCATCTTCGAATAGAAGTACAATTATTGTGAAAAGATATGTTAACTTTAAATTCTAAACAATTAACGTAGTGGTGCATGATGATTTATTTCACCGCAACAGTTGCTTTATTTTATTTATTTATTTACTATTATTATTATTATTATTATTATTATTATTATTCCTTTTCTCTTCTTTGAGCTACTAATTTTAGTACTTCACACCTATTTTTTTTATTTTTTATTTAAAAATTATATAGCAATTTTATTAGCTTAACGTAAAATAAATTTTATGATATAATAAATTAATTAATAAATTATCTTATTATATAATAAATTAATAAATAAAATTTAATTATTTATTAACAAAATTATTATTTAATTTAAAACAATTTAATAATTATCAATTATTTATTAATTTTATAAATATTAGATAATTTAAATTTTTATTACATATAATTTTTAATCAATATTTTTAATAGTTTTTTTTCTCCTTACAATTCATGGTATCATTACTGTTGTTCTTATATCCAAATACATTTTTCATTATTGATTTTACGCTACAATAACCACTCTCACATTCAATTTTTATTTTTATTCTCATCAAAACTAATATTATCGTTTATCCAAATAAAACTCTTAAGCAATACGATAAAAGAGACTCCAATGCGTCTTGAAATCATTTAATGATGGTCTATATAAGATTCAATTATAAAAACAAATTAGGCAAAAGAGTTAAAAAAAACTTTTGAATAAAAATTAAAAAATCGTTTAAACTTTTCATATTTAATTGCAATAAACTAAGTCATGAATTTTTTATTTTAAACTAATTAAATTATTAAATATTTATTTTCATTCAATTAAACTCTTAAACGTTTTTATTTTCATTCCAATTGAGTCATCAATTATATTGAAATAAATATTGACGATTAATCAAATTTTATCTAATAAAAATTCAATTTATAAAATAATGAATTTAATAATTTAATTAGTTATAATAAAATAAAATAAAAACTTAGATAATTATTGAATTTATGTTCAACAGCTTTTTTACCCTTTAGCGAACAAATTAAGATTTCATTTTCACCTCCGAAAACATTTGCATAAAATTAAAAGCTGTGTCCCCTGCTGTCACTGGTTTTCCACACTTGTCTCTGTCTTTCATTTTCCCAAGATCTGCTATAACAAGGATGTAAAAATATCAGTCACTCAGTGCCATGATGGGTTAAATTTGGATCACATTATTTTTTTTCATAAGATCATAATAATTCACATCTTTATTTTCTCTTTTTTATTTGTAGATTCATAAACGATGATAACTGTTTTTAATGTGTTAGACTTATAACTGTTGTTAGAAAAAGAGTCTAGAAAGTGATAATTGTTCTCATTCAAAGCAATGCATCAATACCATTGAGTTCGATACTACTTTGTAAAGGTAGTGATTGGAAAGTTTATGTTCGATCATTCGTATTGGATTAATTTAGTATTTGATTAAGTTTGAATTTGAATAATTTTTATTGAAAATTTTTTTGAATTTATCATTATGACTTGAATTTTTTATTTTTTTATCAATTTATATTTGGATGGATTCGAATCCAATTATTTTCATAAGAATTTACAGTTCGGATTGATTTGCCATGTTTATTTTTGTTTTTTAAAAAATAATAGTATATATATATATATATTTTTTTTTTGTAGAAGAGATAAAAAGCCAAAAATTTGTGATACCAAACAGCTAATGACGCAATGGAAATGTGCAACATAGGTAAGCTATTTAAGTCTGACATAAATGATAAATATAAATGAAACACAAACACACTACTATATAAAGATGTAACAGGGCCATTTCCTACCAAAAAATAAAAAAATAAAAATAAAAACAGGGCCAGTCCAGACCAGAACACAGCTCAGAGAGAGTTGTTCCCTGTTTCCCTGTCCCAAGTCCCATATTTTTTCTCTTTTTTGAAAAAACATAAGTCTATCTTTCTTTCTCTCCTGTCTTTCTCTCTGTCATTGTTCCTCTCTCTCCCTACTTAGAGAGGTAACTGGCAAAATGGGAGTCTGGGTTGATTCCCATTTCCTTGTTTCACCATCTTTTTTCCTGGTTTTGGCTCTCGTCTGCTTCCAGGGAAATGCTTCCGCCAATGTCTCTGCCGACGGCTGTGATTTGTTTACAGGCAGGTGGGTGTTTGATCCATCTTACCCTCTCTACTCAGCCTCTGCTTGCCCTTTCATTGAAAGAGAGTTCACTTGCCAAAAAAATGGACGCCAAGATCTGCTTTACACTCAATACCGATGGCAACCCCTTGATTGCACCTTGACAAGGTACCTCATTCTATATTTCCCTGTTACTTTGTCTCTTTCTCTATCCTCTCCCGTGAACAATAATTTGCTATATTCTTTGTTGGAAAAAGGAAAGAAAAAGGTTAGTGGATGTATGGTTGATATATAAATTGCTCTTTAGCCTCCATTTTTTTCATTAAAAGTAGGTATTGTGTCCAATTGATAGGAAAAGAAAGGTTATGGGAGCGACCTTTCTTTTTTATTGTATGCCAGTTCAGTACTGAGATATTGTCATTTTGCTAGTTTGGAAAGATAGGGGTCACCACTCACCATATGGTAAATTTATTGTAGTTGGGGTAAATTGAAGTTTTGGGTTGGCATTGTTTTAATGTAGGCTGTCCTCACCAAGCCTAAATGAACCCCAATTATTGATGTTTACATTAGTTATAGTTACCCAAATGCTTGGTAATTGTCTCTTATCTTTTTCCTAATTACTAGAGTTCAGAAAGTATTAATGAATAGTTAGATAAGCACAATATATAATTCACATGGTTCTACAACTCACAAATCTATTGGAATTGACATTAAAAGTTGGATTGAAACCTTTTTCTAAGCTTAAACCCCTCATGAAATTCCGATTTACTTTTTCCTTTCATTAGTTTACATCATCATAAGTTTACATAAAAAAAAATTTAATAATGCTTTGATGGACTGAATCCTCAATGAGTTGGAATACAATCAAGCTTGTATATTTATTTTATTTATGAGTAGAAAACTTTAGGAATTTAAATAGTTACTTTTGATTTAAAATTATCAGAATTTTAATAATGATTATTGAAATTAAACAATCAATAATTTATAATTTACTAACAAATCATGCTATTGTTGATAGTTTCATTTTATTTTTAAAAATTTCAACATTGCTATATCAATGTTGAAAATTTTAATTAATTTTTTAAAAAATAAAATACTATAATAAAACATCATCTTCCATGCCAAGTGCAAAAAGTGAATCCAAATCTACTTTCCACTGATAAAACAACATCAAAGCTATGTTGAGCTTTCATTTCAGACATCATGTGAACTAATCTGACTTCCAAAGCGAGTGGAGAAATGTCACTTTCTGATGATTAGATTTAATAATTTTAAACACTATATAAAAATAATAAAAAATATTTTTTAAAAATATTAATAAAAATAATATAAATTTAATGAAATTAAAAAATTAATATAAATTATAATTTAATAATTTTTATATTTTACAGATATTTAACACAAATAAAATATAATAAAAACACACTCAAATAGATAAAGAAACATGAATCTATTTATTTTTCGGTTGAATTGGAAAGATTGTAACATGTGATTGGTCATGTTTTTGCCACAGCCCTTAAAAGCGCGTGGAATACTTGTGCATTTTCTTTTCTGAAAAAAATATTATAAATATGATGTATAATTGACATAGATTCTCTAGCACGTGGGTACGGAAGTGTTTTTCGTACTGTCAACCTCACGGGATCTACGGTGGGGATTCTTTTTCATATTCCCTTTTCTATCCCCGATTTTTTCATCTTATTTCTTTTATATCCTTCAATTTAAGTTTTGCAAATTTAAATTCCCTCTTTCAAAAAAAAAAAAAAAATGCCATCCAACATAAACTAAAATTTGAAAACATTTCAAGATTTTTATTGATGATTTATAAATGTTTAAACTGAGAAATTATTTTCGTTTTTTATAAAATCCTTCATTTTTTTATTCATCAATTTTTTTTAAGCCAACGATGTTAAACAAATTTTTTTAAGAACTAAAAATCAAAGTTGCTGCTTAAACAAAAAATACATGCACTTGTTATTAAATCGAATGATCAAATTTTATTAAATAATTTCTTAAAATCATGTTAAAAAGCTGTTGGAAAATTTTCAGTATTATCTTGATAGGTAATGTGAAGTCATTGGGTGATCCACAAATAGTATTTGGATTTAATGCTTGATTTGGTTTGATTAATCGAAAAACGTGGTAATAATATATATATTTTTTCTTTTTGTAGATTTAATGCATCGGAGTTCGTAGAAAAGTTTAGAGGGAAAAGCATAATGTTTGTGGGAGACTCTCTAAGTCGAAATCAATGGCAATCATTGACATGCATGATTCACTCAGCAATTCCTAATGCCAAATTCAACATTACTAGAGTTGGAGATGTCTCCATATTTGAATTCCTGGTGCGTGATTAAAACCCATCATCATTTTTTTTTTTATTTCAGCTTTTCCTTTCCCACTTTATTTTACCAACAGGGCCAATCATTTGGAAATTTAATTATGGGATTAACATTTTTTTTTAAAATTTTTTAAGTGCTTCATAATCATCAAGCCAATTTTATTTTTTGCTAAGCCAAGATCGTTTTATTAGAAATTAGTTCAGAAGATTAGAAAAAGCATCAAAGATGTCATACCCATATATGTTCACAAACATAAAAAAAAAATCCAAAAAAAAACATTAGGATAATCAAACCACTATTAACCACTGCACATTAACAACTTCAGCCTTAGGAGCTCTAAATTTTGCCAAGAATCAGCCAAACCATAAACTTTCAATAAGTACTGAAGAATCAAAATGAGCCTCACATCTCACTCAAAACAAGAAAATATTCCATAAACACACTCCATTAGTAAACAAACGTTAAAGGCAATTTGACTCAGAAATTCTCTGCTGTAATAGAAATAGCATAGTCAACCAAACATCATTAATTCAAAATGTATAACTTGATTTTAAATTTATATCTCTTGAACCAAAATCAAAATAAATAAATAAATAAACTTTGAGACAACTTCCAAATTTGTCACAGAATTGTAGTTATATCCTGAATTTTGTTACTATAATTTAATTATATTAAATTTTGTCACAGTATTTTTATTTTGATTGATCTTTAGATAAAAATTCAATAGAATATTTTATTTATATAGTTTAAATAAGTTTTGGAAAAGTAAAAAAAATTGGAATGACAAATCTCACATTCTCGGCTTCTGAATGATGAAATGGGAAGAGACATCCTTTGTGAAATTCTACGTAACATATACATATTCTCCAAAACCTATTTGAATTACATAAACGAAATATTCCTTTATCAGTGAATCCATAACTTAATTCAATTATTTAATGCAATCACCTTTAAAGGTTGTATCTAATAGGTCTAGCTCTCCGAAATTCAAATGTCTTTACCTGCAACTGTTTCTTTACAACCATTTCTTCATCTTTGAGCTGTGATTTCCTTTTACAAAAACAAATATTCATTCACTAGTAGTTTTGTCCAAAAGCATCAACCAAAACATAAGTATAACAACAAAATTCAACGCAATTAAACAAAGTAAAGTGGAAAAATTCAACAATGAACCACAAGCAAAGTTGGTATAATTTATCCAATAAACTTCAATGGAGCTTTCTTGTAGTTAATATGGTATACTAAATTCAAAAAAAAAAAAAAAAAGGGCAAAGGTTGAGTGGTTTTAATAATGTGGTTGTCACTTTCTATCTACATGTGACTACCATTGATTTTAGGTAGTTTCCCGTGAATGTTAGTTAAAATTTCTGCATCACTAGTAATCTATCCCATATCAAACCAGACAACTCTTTGGGTGATAGAAACTTTTTGCTCAGGATTTAACAAACCAATTTGTATTCAACTAGCTGGAATGGGCAACCTCTTTAGCTTGTCGTAAAAGGCCTCTCTAATTTTCTATTGGTTGTCCAGCGGTGTTCCAATCAATGTGGTCCTGTTATTGTCCATTTTCACATGGACAAAAGAACTTTTTGTGAACTCATTTGTATTGTTCACAGGTGCATTTTATGGTAGTTAAATCATTGTCATGTGCCAGACACCTTAGGCAATTAATACCATTGTCTATAAAGAGACACAATAGCAGGGAAACTTGTTCAGTGTTTTATTACTGGATATCCCAAGAGAGTGCAAACTTCTGATTAGTTTCCTGGATTCAGTAGGGTTAATTACATATTTAATACTCCTATTATAGTTAAATTTTTTATTAGGAACTTAAATTTTAAAAAATCTAATTAGATATTCAAGTTTTGCTTTCATTCACTGATTTGCATACGATTCTAAATAATACTGTCAGCCAAATGAATAACATGTCCAAAATATCCGGTAATTAAAAACTTGTCATCTTTAACAAATTTATTGAATGTTTTGGACATCTTATCCATTTGACTAATGATATTAGTCTCGTGTACAAACGGAGAAAGAGAAGAAAAGTTCGATTACTAATTTCAAATTTTTAAAATTTTGCTATCAAATCAAGAATTTGACAGTAGTTATGAGTATCAAATGTAACTATTTAAAAGCAATAACTTAAAGAAAATATCTTACAATCACTGGTGCTCTTGGGCATCTCAATGAATCCAATCCAAATCCAATAAATGAGATAAAAGCAAGAAGCAAAATACATAAGGGTTGTTATTTATAATTTGCAAATGTTGATCATCATAGTTTGTGAAATTTGCAGGATTATGAAGTCAAGGTAATGCTTGATCGCAGCGTGTATCTGGTAGATGTTGTGAAGGAAAAGATTGGGAGGGTCTTGAAACTGGACTCCATTGAAAGAGGCAAGCTATGGAAAGGAATTGACATGCTTATCTTCAATACTTGGCATTGGTGGAACCGTCGCGGACCCACTCAACCGTAAGCTAGTAGTTTCCTTATGATTTTTTTTAATACTAGAGATCATTGCTAGGATTTGAACCTGAACTAAAAATCTAGTAATCTATCAATAGATCACACGGCTATTAGCTACTTATGATTATTTCTTTTACGATTAAATGAGGAATGATAATATGGATGGAATATTTTGAATTTTTTCAGATGGGATTATATTGAAGTAGGAGGTGTGATTAAGAAAGATATGGATCGTATGCTTGCTTTTGAAACAGCTCTCAACACCTGGGCTGGATGGGTGGATGCCAACATTGATCCTGCAAAATCTCTGGTCTTTTTTCAGGGAATTTCTCCATCTCATTACAAGTAAGCTTAACTATATAAGCTTTAACATGGTATCAGATCTCTCGAGTTCGAATCTTTTGCTTTTACGACAATCAGTCACCCAACTTAATAGTTTTGAATTTGTTATGCCAGTGGATCTTCATGGAATGAACCAAGTGCAAAGAACTGTCTGGGCCAGAAGCAGCCATTGCTTGGCACAACATATCCAGGAGGTCTTCCACCAGCTTTAGATGTGCTAAAGAAGGTATTAGAAACAGTGAAAAAACCTGTTAAGTTGCTTGATATAACCATGCTCTCGTTGTTACGCAAAGATGGACATCCTTCAATGTATGGGCTTGGCGGACCGACGGGAATGGATTGCAGCCATTGGTGTCTAGCAGGAGTTCCAGATACATGGAACGAGATTCTTTACAATCTTATTCTTTGAACATTGATTTGTTAAAATGAATTAATAATGTCATAATAATCAATTGCCCATTTGATTCTTATCTCTTACTATGACATGCCGAAAAAGCAACAAAAAAAAAAAGGTTTAATGAGAAGATTAAACAAATTTTCAAATGAATAAAATTATCATAAGCTCATTACACATGATAGTTCTAGTGTTAATCCGTTTGAGGATAAAGTATAAATCTTACCTAAAAATTTCGATAAATTCCTAAATTTTTAATTTCAATAATTTGAGTTTAATCTATAATGGTCTCAAATGAAAAAAAAAAAAAAAAGAAGCATAAACTCTCATCTATAAAATTTATTCCTTTTTTTTAAGTCAAAGTATTCGATCGATTTAATTAATTTAGTTGTAAAAATTTAATCAGTGATTAAATTGATTTCATTTATAAAAAACCTGAATCATTTGACTAGTAAGATGAAAATCGAAATTAATCAAATGGATTTAAATCAATTGATTAATGTTAGTTTCGTCCATTTTAAGAATTAGTACAATATCAAAACTTGAATTTATGAGAAAACACTAAATTGCTTTGTTGCAAAGTCACAATTGCAACAAGACCCAAAATGATTAGTCAATTTCAAAGCAGAAATGTGCCAATGAAAACCAAAACCTTAGTCATTATTGAGTAGTTAACTCTTTATGAGTAGGAGATGGGATACCTTTTTCGGAGGCCAACATAGAGTACAACTTTAAGGCCATGAGTTATGTCCAAAGCAACTATTCTTTAAACATTTCTAGAATAAAATTATAAAACAAAAGTAAACATAATTTTTTTCATAGAATTAGAGAATCACAAAAAACCCCATTACTTGTTCACAGAATCATAGAATCACAAAAGAATCCAATTGACCTTTGTTTGATGGTGAGCAACCCGATTTGATTTTAATTAATTTAGTCGGGTTTGATCCATTTTTTTGGTTTACTGACTAATACTCTGTCCTACTCTTTTCTTGATTCTAATTCATTATTATTATTATATAAGAATTGCAATTAAGTTCCTAAATTGAAATTAATTATCTCTTATTTCAGTCAAAACTCAAAGAGGCAAATCAATTAAAATTTGTTAAGAGATACATAATCAGTTTATATGAGTATTAAATTTTCGTGTTAACTTTCCATAACGAAAATTTAAAGGGAAAATAAGCAAAAGTTATATATTGAAAAAAAAATAAAAAGACCACATATCAGAATAATGTGGGTTAATTTGAGGAGATAATAGTAGAGCTGGCAGCATCGATATGACATTAAAGATTGCTTCTTTTTCAGTTCATTGCTGATCAACTCCAGTTGGAACTCATATATTACATTAAAATTTTAGTTGGAATTCACTTTAAGACCATCATTTAAAGATTGATTGTCAACTATTTCCAGAACAGTATAATTATGATAATCTTTATTTCCCTTTTGTTGGAATTCATTTTTATATAGTGACTTTGTTTTATATATTTAATTAATTTCATAATCTTTTTTCTTTATAAATATATTTTTATGGATTGGGACAAATCATTTATACGGACTTCATGCATTTATTAGCTATGTTGTGTGGAAATGCAGTTAAATTTTTAGTTTGTCCTTTTGGTGCAGGCTTTTCCTTGTCAGCTCTTAGATTTGTAAACTTTTACAATATCCTTTCCAAAATCATCCTAGAAATCATTGACACGTGAAATTAATTTCCATGGTTTTTCACTTAGATTCACTGCCGACAATTCTAGCAAGATTCTTTACTTTAGTATTGTAATTTTACCCTTCATTGAATTTCCTTCGGGGAACAAGTGTTCATATTCTTGCCAACTACACAAAAAGAACACGTATGACCCCCCAAGAGGAAGTTTTCCTTTGAAGGATATTATCTCAACCAAACAAATGATTGGAAATTAAATTCGCCTTTACGTTTTCGTAACAACGACACCAAAACAGAAGGAAAAAGAAATTGTAGAACAGTGGAAAAGATATCTTTGTTTTAAAGTGATCCCCATTCCCCCACAAGGAAAAGAAAAAAGGGACTTTACTTACAAATTGTAATTAGCATATATAAACCCTTTTCAACTCAAGGTGGAATTGGTACATTTTGATTCCAAGAAATCAAGTTGTTCTCATAATTATTCTTCATCTCTTTCCTAGAATGGGAGATGGGTTTCGTAGCTTTTGTTGGATTGGTTTTTCTTGGATTCTAATCTTATGCATTCACCAAGTTCAGTTGAGTGAACCGCAATCGGATGGTAGCTGTGATTTTTTCAAAGGGAGTTGGGTTTTTGACGAAACTTACCCTCTTTACAACACCTCGGATTGTCCATTTATTGAGCAAGAGTTTGATTGCCAAGCCAATGGACGCCCTGATAAACTTTATCTCAAATATAGATGGAAGCCATCCGATTGTATGCTGCCAAGGTAAGAATTTGACAAAGAAGATCAAGATCAATCATCCTTATAAAACGTTTTAATTTGATCACTTTTTTTAGACTTTTTTTATTGGAAATTTTCATTATTATATACGAAAATGTTACATGACATGAACTTATAACGACCTCCTGTCCCAGATGGAGCACTCAACAATCAAGTTCCAATAAATGGTGTGAAAATTTATGAGTGACAATTTAATTCATTTATCAGCTCAATAGTTTGCGATGAAAATCCTCGGATTTCAACTTTATTGAGAGGAAAAAACCATTGAACTTTTGTTCTTATGTAAAAGATGAGTTCTATATAAGCTTCTCTCATTTGATTCTTTTTTTTTTTTTTTAATTTTCGGGGAAATCATCATGTCATTTTTTATGGTTTTATTATCTTGACTCTAATGAACAACTAAATTCTTGTAATAATGTTATATTTGCATGGTTTAATTATCTCGAACTAGGTTAATGCAACAATGACAATATTTCACATGTTCAAGAAATTCATTGACATCAGCTGTTGTATGTGAATCTAAAACTTTTGGATTTCCGGTCCCGTATGTTTTGGTCCAGATTTAATGGTGAGGATTTCTTGAGAAAGTTGAAGGGGAAAAAAATCTTGTTCATTGGGGACTCACTAAGCTTGAATCAATGGCAGTCTCTCACGTGCATGTTGCATGCTGCAGTGCCGCAATCAAATTACACTATTAACAGAAAAGGAGACTTTTCTACCTTTTCTTTTCCGGTGAGTTGCCAAATCTAGCTCCCTTCTATTCCTTTTGGTTTTAGTTAGAATTAATTAGGTGCCAAGATTCAAATTTCCCCTTTAAATTTAGTTGGTTATTAATAAGTTCATAAGACAATATATTTGTGTTTTGCTTATTGCTTAAGACATTCAATAAATAGTTAAAATTCAATCTTATTAGTTTCTTTTTCAGAAATTATTAAATACATTAATATTGGAATTTTTAAACTTGACAAAAGATATTAGTAGGATGACACGTCCCTCTTAAGATATATTAAAATAAATAAATAAATAAATAAAAAGATATGTGTCAATTTTTTAACTCAATTTGAGGAATTAAAATGTTTCATTGACGTTGAATCAAAAATTTTTTTCTTCTAATTGGTCTTTTACTTTCAAAGATGTTAAAGCAAAGTATGCTTGAAGAACTAAAAATAAATTTTACTTTCATGGGTAACTATTATATATGCATGCAAGAATTGGAATTTCCCACATTTGTTCATAGTTAATATATATATATATATATATATATATGACATCTGAATATTTGATTTAATAACTTTAAATCTCTCTTTTCCCATTAAAAAAAAAATCAAATTATATGTGATCTCTATTGTTCATTTTTATTATTTTTTAAAAATATTGATAGAATAGATAAATTGTAAATAAGTTATTAATAAATTGGCTCAAGTGGTAAAACGAGTGTGCTCTTTTCTTTGTTGTTTGGATTTAAATTCCTTGAAAAACCATAAGAAAGTAATTTTTTATGAATTTATTAGGTTTAATATAGATAAATCACATTGGATCGGTCAGCAAAGATGATTTACTGGACAAAACCTAAGAACCCCTTGTCACTAAATAGAGAAAAAAGGTTGTAAAATTTGAATTAAATAAAAAAGGCCGAATTTTAGGGATAAACAGCCATTTCATCCAAAACATAATTTGGCCACAAAATGAGATCCATGGCTTGAACATAACATTTCTACAGTTAGGCATTGGATAATTGTACGTTGAACCAAAAGCACATATATAATTACAGGACTATGAAGTTTCATTGATGCTATCCCGCAATGCATTTCTAGTCGATCTTGTCAAAGAAAAGAAAGGCACCGTTTTGAAGCTGGATTCCATTGAAAATGGCAAATCTTGGAAAGGCTATGACTTGCTCATCTTCAACACCTGGCATTGGTGGCTCCACAAAGGAAGAAAACAACCGTAAGAAACTTAATTTAAACAATTGAGTTCAACTTTAATAATTGCATTCGGAGTATTTAGTTCAATAGTTTGGTCTTCGGTGCATTTTTTTTGTCGTTCAAGAATTGGATTTGAATTCTCTCAACCTCATCGTCAAAATCAAATTTAATTTCAAGTAGTAATTTGGTTATCAATGTTTGGATGACAGATGGGATTTCATTGAATCAAGGGGAAAGGTGAGGAAAGATATGGATCGTTTGGTTGCATTTAGAGAGGGGCTAACTACATGGTCAGAATGGGTGGATTCCAATGTTAACACTACCACTACCCAAGTATTCCTTCAGGGCATTTCTCCCACTCATTTCAAGTAAGTTAAGCTCTTCGCTTATTTATTTGTTTAAAATAAATTTAAAAACACTTAAAAATATTTTTTAAAAATTTTAAAAATATTTTAAAAATATTTCATATTCGACATACTAAATTAGTTAAATTTTGAATAAAATTTCAAAATATTAATCGAACCTAATATGATTAATCCGGCTCATGAACATATCTAAGATTGTACCATTGAAAAGAATATTTTTGTAGTCAAATTAATTATTTTATTGTTTTAAGTTTCAAAAAAAAATTATTGTATTGTTGTGGTAGAGAGATTGGATACAAGATGTGTATGTGATCACACCATTAGAGGTGTCTAAACGTTTGGGTTGCCTATCTAGGCCCATAGGCCTTGCCCAATTTAGGTCTTGGACTTTAAATTTTTTAATCAAACTCAAAATATTGTGTTATTAATGAACAATTGTTAATCTTATTTTAATTTTAAAATATTAAAATTTAAGATAAACTAATTTTATTATTTTAATAAAATATAAGCAACCGAGCCATTTTGACTTAGGTTGTAAGAAAATCCAAACATATTGTTTAATATCTTATGCATGATTTTTTACTCAAATGAACACGATTTAAATTTTTTTTTCTCAAAAAAAAAAAAAAGTGGTAAGAGTGGGTGAATCATTAGATTCCAAGTCCCTGGTAGGTAATGAAGTATTAATGATACTCTACCTCACAATTTGGTATTCGATGCATAATTGATAGTGGCAAGGAATGGAATGAGACCAAATCAACAACCTGCAGGGGTCAGACCACACCAGCAACCGACTCAACATATGAAGGTGGTTCGCCGCCAGCAGTGGCAGTCGTAAAGGAAGTGTTGAAAAACATGTCAACGCCAGTTATTTTGCTCGATGTAACAAGACTGTCGCAGCTGAGAAGAGATGGTCACCCATCTATTTACACTGGTCTAAAGGGAAATGACTGTAGTCATTGGTGCCTAGCTGGTGTTCCTGATACATGGAATCAACTTTTGTATGCAATTCTTACAACTGGGGAAACTTCATGATTTTAAATTACAATATTTTTGCAATTAATTTTTTAAGTTCAAACAAAAATAATTTACGTTAATGATTGATAAGATGCACAAATATAAATAATCACGTGATATGTTGATAAAGTGTTGAATTTTTAATCTCAGTAATCAAATTTAATCTCTAACCAACTCAAGAATCAAAAAAGAAAAATGTGCACAAATGCACCATCTAAGACAGCTTTAAAGTTGCATATTTTTGCCATTTAAGCTTGTCGTTAGTCTTTTGGCAGTGAATTCACCAATGGAAATATCAAATATCCTTGCCATACAAAAAGGTTTATATTAGAAAGAATTTAATTAATTCAACCTAAAAAGGGAGAAAATCTCTCTTAATTAATTGAGCCAGCAATGAAAGAAATTAAGGGAGAACAGTGAAAAAAAAGTTACAGACTCTTACCAGACAAAAGTTATAGATATATATATATATATATATTTTGTGTTGCAACACTCTCCAAAGTGTACTGCTATCATTTCAAGTCCTTTGTATATCCTCTATTTCTCCCTGAAAATGGGGAATGGGTTTCTTATTAGCTTTGCTTGTGCTTTTGTTATTCTGATTTCATGGCTTCATCAAGTTGAGTTATCTGAAGTGAATGGTGGCTGTGATTTTTTCAATGGGAGTTGGGTTGAAGATGATACTTACCCTCTCTACGAAAATTCCAAGTGTCCCTTAATCACGAAAGGTTTTGATTGTCAAGCAAATGGACGCCCTGATAAACTCTACCTAAAATATAAATGGAAGCCAACTGCTTGCTCATTGCCAAGGTACTGATTAATCTCTTCTTTTTCTTTTTTTTTTTTTCCTTTTTTCATGCCAATTATTATAGTATATTGCTTAGGAAAGGCTTCCAAACTCAAGATTATGAAGAAATTATCTTTATAATATTCCAATTATGATAAACTCACATGACCTTATCATTTGAACTTAGTTCAAAAGATTTTTGGTGAGTAGGATATGCGACAGATTTTAATTTTTTTTTTTTTCAAAAAAGAAGAAAATAAACAACGAAATTTCTTAATCTTGAAACTTGAGCTAGCAGCATCAATATGACAAAATATATAATGACATGAAAATTACAAATCATAAAGAAAATGACAGATTTTTGCTACCGTATACAGAAAAGGAAAAGAAAATGACAAAACACAACGTATAGTGACCGAATATCTCTGAGAGACAACGTAGTACGTACTTTTATGGGAAAAAAAGACAGGTTTATTTGCAATATATGAAATGATATTCATTCCTTAACCATTGGAAGTGGCAATTGGTCCGCGAATAGGGCCGAGTGATAGGGCCAAGTTTTGGATATGAATCATTTCAGAAGCGATTTATTTTGATTTTCGATAAATTTTTTTATGGAATAATTATGTTTGACATTTAAATTAGTTGAATTTAAGTAATCGGATGGAATCATTTTGAGTTTAAATTATTGAGTTTTATAATTAAATTAATTGAATTTTGAGTCCTTTCAAATTAATTTTTAGATCATTTTGAGTGTGTTGACTATCATCTTTTTAATAAAACAAGTTTGGCTTACAAAAAAATTGGTTCACTAATTTAGATTTGAATCATTTGGGGCCTAAGCTATTTTGAGTTTAATTGGTCTGAGTTCAAGTTATTGATTTTTCTTTGATCAAATTAGTTGAGTTAGATTCGGATTCATACGGATTGATATGTTTTTTAAATTCGGGTCAATTAATTTTTCTAACTTTAGTTAATTATAATAAAAAATTTAATTATAATTAAACAAATTTTTATATATTTTACACTATAAAAGATTAAACTATAATTACTGAAATTAAGAATTTAATATTCTACTATTCTATTAACAAATCACAAATAAAATTTGTTTTCATCCATTAGGAAAAGAACTTACAAGGACATTGAACAACCATAATTTTGCTATTCAATAGGTCTTTTCATTTTACTTGGGTACTAATATGACTTTTCATTTTCATTTTGTTTCATTCAATATTTACAAACCCATATTTGAAGAGACTAAATATATAATAAATATTCACTATCAAAATGTTATGTTATGTTTGGATAAATAAAAATAAAGGAATGAAAGGTTTTTTAAAGGAAAGAAAAGGATATATATATATATATATATATCATTTGTTTGGATAGTTAAAATTAATAAATGAAAAGAAAATAAAGGAATTCTAACAACTATTGATTGGTTAAATAATAGAAAGGGAAGAAAATGATTTATTATATTATTTTTTTCGATTATAACTTTTGATAATTTTTGTTTTTACTATAACATTTACATATTTGTGTTAACGTATTCTATATTTTTAATTTTTCTTTATTTTTTTATAAAAATAATCATTTATGAAATTTATGAAATTAATAAAAATAAGAGAAAAAATGGAGACAATAAATTTATTAGTAAATGATATTTTGTTTTCTTAATTTAATTTTGAAGTTCAAAATTATATTCTTTTAATTTAGAGAAATTAATAAGGATATAATAATCATTTTATATTTTAAAAATTTTATTATTTTCTTTTTCTCCCCTTTCCCCCAAACTTGGGGCAATTAAAAAATGAAGAAAGTTGAGGAAAATCAAAAGGAGTTAAGCATACCTTCATTTCCTTTATTTTTATTTATGTCACATATAAACAAAGGAAAGGATTCTTTGTTTCTTTTTATTTCCTTTCCCTTCCATTCCTTTCTCTCCCCTTAGCTCAATCCATACATATTGTTAATGTCTCAGTCCTCTACCTCTTGACATATATAGTGGCTAAGGAGGATTTATGAGAACATAAAAGTTCAGGTTTCGAGTCATAATCTCCTCCTCTTTTTTCCTTTGTAAGGGCTATGCTCTTCCCTTAACAAAAAAAAAATGTTGATGTCTAATGCAATCTTATTGGATTTTTCATTATGTACACTGTTTAATGATACAGATTTAATGGTGAGGATTTCTTGAGGAAGATGAAGGGAAAAAAGATCTTGTTCGTTGGGGACTCTATAAGCTTGAATATGTGGCAATCATTGACATGCATGGTTCATGTAGCTGTACCACAAGCAAAATACACTTTAAAAAATCACGGAAACCTAACAACCTTTGCTTTGCCGGTGAGTTCCACGACTCCTTCATCAGCTGCTAATGAATTTTCAATGGCTAAAACTAATAGCAACAATTTAAAAACTGGATGTTGCAGGACTTTGATATTTCGTTGGAATATTCCCACAATGTGTTTCTAGTTGATCTCGTGCAAGAAGATATAGGCACTGTTTTAAAACTCGACTCCATTGAAAATGGCAATTATTCATGGAAAGGATATGATGTCCTCATCTTTAATACATGGCATTGGTGGCTTCATACAACAGCAGGAAAGAATCAACCGTACGTATACTTTTTTTTTTTTTTTATCATTTTTCACATTTATATTTTGCCTCTCTTCTGCATTTCTATTTGTCTATATTTGATTTGATAAAAAAATTGAATTTAACATGTTTTATATTGAAATTAAAAAAAATGTATTGGAATTAATGTTTTAAGTAAATAGTTTTAATGGTTTTAAAAGTAAAAAATTTAAAATTAACCAAAAAAATGCCTAAGAATATATATTAGCTGCCAAAATTCAAAAGCATATATATGTAATTTTTGGATGTTCCAATTGAAGAAAGTATCACAAATTAATTTTATGTTTCATTTCACCATTTTTTTTCATTTTTCATGAAAATTTGTATGAACATTTAATTCAGTGATTAATACATGATTCTGACTTTTATTCAAAAAGCAAAGTTTGAATCCCATTTCCAAATCTATAATAAAAAAAAAGAAAAATAAAAGTTTTCATTACCTTCATATTTTTTTATGAGAGCTAATAGAACAATGGGAAAGTGCTCTTTCTCTTAGCCAAGTTCATCTTCTTTGCATTCTAGGTGAAAATAACATGGCTTTCATGCTTTCAATCAGATGGGAATTCATAGAATCGAGAGGGAAGATAGTGAAAGATATGGATCGATTGGCTGCCTTTAAGGAGGGACTAACCACATGGTCGAAATGGGTTGATTCCAATGTTGATCCTCAAACTACAAAAGTATTCTTTCAGGGCATCTCTCCAGTCCATTACGCGTAAGCTTTTTTTGTTCTTGCTACTCTAAACAAGAAGGGAAAAAAAAAAAAACTTTGATCATATTTAATCTTGGCTAGCTAGATGATATATATCAGAGTTTACTTGTTCTAACATTTATATATTTCAAAATTTAACACATTGTATTAAAATAAAGATTATTTTCAGCATATGAAAGTGGAGGGCCTTTCCAAATAATTAAACAAAATGCGGAATTTAATAAAATTAATTAATGCAGCCACTTTTAAGAGGTAGTATTCAATAGTCTATAATCTTTTTTCCTAATCTTAGGTAATGGCTTACCGCTAAATGCATGTTAACATTTATTTGATTATAATTATAACTTTCAAATTAAAAAAAGGGCAAACTATTTGATTGTGATTATAAGTTTTAAATTAAGAAAAGGGTCAAAGGGGCTCTAATTTTCAACATTGAAATACAGAAATTGCACTGTTAGTTAAGAATGTTGAACTTTGATGTACAATCTGGTAAATAACATATTATTGGTGTGGATTGTGACAGTGGCAAGCAATGGAATGGTCCAGCTTCAGCAACATGTCAAGGCGAAACCACACCACTGAATGGGACAACATATCCAGGAGGTTTACCACCAGCAGTAGACGTAGTGAAGGAAGTGTTGAAAAGCATGTCAAAGCCTGTTACTTTGCTGGATATAACGATGCTTTCGCTGCTGAGGAAAGATGGCCATCCCTCTGTTTATGCTGGAACCAAGGGAAATGACTGTAGCCATTGGTGTCTTGCTGGAGTTCCTGATTCTTGGAATGAAATTCTCTATGTATTTCTTTCAAATGGGGCAACGATTTAAGCTTAAAATAATATTGAAAAAAGGGATCAAACATTGGCAAAGGCAAATTTCTTCTTGATCTTCAGCTGATCTCTTAGAAATTTCGTCAGAAGTTTTTAAGTAAAATTTTTATAATGTAACAACTCAAGTTGGGATATGATAATCAAAATCTGGTTACACAGAAAACCAATTTTAGGCCCAGGAAGGCACACATTTTAGTTATTGACCCCCCACCAACACAACTCTATGTGGTCACTACTAATAATGTTGACTTTAAACCCGGCCACCATCACATCAACTACACATTCACCTACTACAGTTATTAATCAAACCACAATCATGAATAACCTTCCCTTTTTTTTTTAACACTTAAAATAAATTTTTGGTTTTTTAAATAAAAATAATTTTTAATCTTTTATTATATAAAATTAAGTTTATAAAATTTTATTTTATTGCAATTAAAATCGTTATAAAATATATCAGTATTTGGATGAAACTTTCTTAATTAAATGTCTTATTTATTAAAAAAAAAGTTTATCTGAATTTATTTAGAAAAATTGGCTGATAAGTATTTGAAAAAAAAATTATTTTCATAGTTCTAATAATTAAACTTTATTCATTCACTCTTAAGATTTAATAAATATAATTATAATAAATTAAAACTTATAATTTTAATTTAATGTAATAAAATATAAAAAATTTGTTTTTATTTTTATAAAGTTACCTCCCTCTCCCACAGAATCCGACTCTTTTTTTTTAATATAAAACGAAGAATCGTACTGATTATCAGATTAAAAACACATAAACATAAAAGAAATCTACATTTAAACACTACCATATCGAAATTATAAAAATATATATATTTTGTTAAAAAACCAAAAAGAATATTAATTTAAATAATGAGAATTTTTAACAGTAAAAAAATCATAAATTTTATTTATACTAATGTAACTTTTTACTTATGTCAACCAAACTCCGCATCTCATATTAAAAAAAAAAAAAAAAAAAAAAACACCCACATGATTCCAAAACTAGATGTGCAGGTTGTCGTGACTCAAATTCAAAATCTCTAACGTACAAGGTGAAGAGAACAAGAGCTTCTTGCACGCCACCTCCTTTGGCAAAAAAAAAAAAAAAAAAACAATTTAAAAAGATCCCAATAACAACAAGCCTTTTTCTTATAAAAATTTTAGACATGGAGTTTGCACCTTTTTCTTGGTACAATTTGGTGTTGTACACATAATTTAAGAGCTTATATAAATAAGTTAAATTAAGATTTTGACAAGTATATTTTTTTTATTATATTAAACTTTTAATTATTTTTAAATAAATTTATTTTTATATATTATCATAAGAGTTTATTAATTTCACGAATAAAATTAACAAATCGATAAATATACTTTTTATTATATTAATCATTTAAATTATTTTTATTTTTTTAATTAAATTCATTGAGTTTAATTCTATTAACGATGTATGAAATAACTTTTCTTTTTATATACCTATAAGAGATATATATCATTTTACTAATTTCTTCGTTGGAATTTAAAAACTCCAATGATGATATAATTTTCCTTGAAAGCTACTTGAAGTTTGAAATAATTAAGAAGCATAATTTAAGAAATTGTAAGACATAAAATCAATATGCAAAATCAAGCAATAATCTGACATTACACTCCCTAGAAGAGAAATGTAATTAACATAATACCTGAAAAAATAAAACTAACATATATAGAGTCAAACAACATGGATTTTGCAATGTTCAACCAATGATCTTGTGCCAGATGTGAATTAATTTATTGATCGCTAGCAATACACCCCAAACTTTCAAAAATTAAGACTTGATGTAAGAAACCTAAACTTGTGCTGGAAATTATGTCCTTGCCAGGCTGCCAGATAATGCTCATAAAAACATAGCGATTTTGTTACTTTATTTAAACCTTGAAATTAAAGCACTTTTTAACTAAAAATTTTCTTACCATAATACTTAACCTTCTGTGGCAGTAGTATCTAACTTCATTCGCTAATTTCAATGGCTGCTTGGCTTGGTTTCTTGGGTTACCATTGCCATGCAGCGGTTGTTTCTCTTTCTCTAGTCATAGCCTTAGTTCATGGAGATATTGAAGGGAAGAAAAATCAAGTGAAAAACTGTGATTTTTTTCAAGGAAGTTGGGTTTTTGATCACTCTTTAAACCCTCTCTATGATTCTCCGAGTTGTCCATTCATCGGAGGCGGCTTTGATTGCCAGAAAAATGGCAGACCTGATAAGAATTACCTCAAGTATAGATGGCAACCTAATGGCTGTGACCTCCCCAGGTAATTAAAGCTTCTTTCCTATTTTTAATCCTATTCTTTTTCGTAGTATGTAAGGAGTATCCCAAATTTTATTTTATTTTTTGGATAAAAAAGCTTAAGGAGATAAAAGAAAAAGATTATAAATGTTGATGTTTGAATTAAATACTTATTAAATATCTTTATATGAATTAATTAAATTAAATTTCAAATTTTATCTCAAATTTTATTTGAGTTTAACGTTCTTCTTTATCGAATGATTTAAGGATGTCCTTTTTCTTGCCACTGACACAAAGGAAAAATAGTTTTAATTGTTTGAAATTTATTTGGTTCCATGAAACCATCCGAGGAAAAAGTTAAATTATTAGTTTTTCTTGAGAAGAGAGAAGAAAATTTGGTGTGGATAGGGAGATGTTTGTTTGTAAGTGTGATTTGTGTTTTGGATGCTTATTTTCATTTAGTGTAAATGAAGGACTACTGTACCAAACATCGACTTGTACGATATAAATGAAAGGCAAAAAATAACAAGCAGATTTGTCTTTAGCTTGGATATCAAATGTTTTCAAAAGTTGTCACATGTTACAATAGGAAAAAAAATGTCCTAGAAAACGGTGAATAATCATTTCATTAAGGGGAAGTCTACTAAAATGTGAAATAAAGAAGATTGAATTTAGGGTGGCTATAGGTGAAAATATCTCTCAATGACTCAAACTAGGACAAAATTTATAGACTACTTGAAAAAATGGTCTACTACACAGATTCAAAATGCCTTTCATGCTTGATCAAAGGGAATATTTTCATTTTTTTTTCACATTTAATGTCTCTAATTTCAAGTGGTTTGGCGAATTTTGATTTTAGGTTCAATGGTATTGATTTCTTGGAGAAATATAGAAACAAGAAGATATTGTTTGTGGGGGATTCTCTAAGTAACAACATGTGGAGATCACTGATTTGCATGCTACATTCTGCAGTCCCAAACTCTAACTCCATCTTTGGCTCACAAGGGCTGCTCTCAACATTTTCATTGCCGGTATGTCTAAATTTCACTTGGCAAAATATGTAGCATTGAATACTCTGTTCATGATTAATAAGTTTTCTTTGTTCTTGTTCCAGGATTATGGGGTTTCAGTTAACTGGCTGAAAAATGGGTTCCTGATTGATATGGTCTATGAAAAAATTGGTAGAGTTTTGAAGCTTGATTCTATCAGTACTGGAAATCAGTGGCTTGGAGCTGATGTCTTGATCTTCAATAGCTATCACTGGTGGACTCACTCTGGACGTTTGCAAACGTATTATTTCTACTTATGTTTACATTGTAGCAACAACTTTTTTTTCGATAATATTTTTCCTCAGCCTAATCCCTTTCTCGGATATCTTAAGAGCAACTGTAGCAGTATCTATGTCTAGTAGAATACTATAGTTAATTAGATAGGAGGATTACTTGCAATATATTCATCCTTGCATTCAAAATTTTAAGAAAAAATAATTATGGTTTAGCCAGTTAATTGATTGGGTTGCAGATGGGACTACTTTCAATATGGAAACAAGACAGTGAAAGACATGGATCACATGGAAGCCTACAAGATTGCCATGACAACTTGGGCTAATTGGGTTGATAAGAATATTGATCCTTCAAAGACTAGAGTCTTCTTCCAAGGAGTTGCAGCAGTTCATATGAAGTAACTTTTTAATCTCTCATCCCTTAAATCATCTTCTTTTATAGAAGCAAGTCGACTACTTTGAAGCAAAATCACTCACTTTGCTTCCTTTTCAGTGCCAAGGAATGGAATGATCCAAACCATAGAGATTGCAGTGAACAAACAGAACCAGTGAAGGGATCAACATATCCAGGCCCTGGTGTGCCAGGGGAAGCTATTCTAAAGAGCGTATTGAGTAAAATGACTAAACCTACCTATCTACTTGACATTACTTTGCTAACACAACTAAGAAAAGATGGCCACCCTTCCATCTATGCTGGCGGAAGCCCTAAGTTAATTGATTGCAGCCACTGGTGTCTTGCTGGTGTGCCTGATACTTGGAATCAACTATTATATGCAGCTTTGCTTCAGTAGTATTTCTTTTTCCCATCTTTTTTTGGAGGAATATTTATCAACTAGTAACAGCCACATTGGTTGTTTGTAATGAAATAAATTTTAGTAGATATAAAAGGAAAATCTTACTCATTACTGCCATTGTCAAATTTTTTTGTGTCAAACTTTTGCTCATATAAAATCTTTCAAAAATATAATCATGTCTACACTATAAAGCAAATTTCTCTCGGACACTTTCAATCAGCCTGTAGAGCAAGTAAGAGTTTCTATTTCCCAGGGCCTATGCACCAATCATTAAATTTAAGAAAAAAAGAACATTAATGTAATACGTGATTAACAAATCAAAGTTGGTTCAAACATGAAGGAACTACAGATCAAATTTAAATTACATATTTCCAAGGGCCTATGCATCTGAAACCTACAGCATAAATTTCCGTCAGAGCTTAGCATTCAACTTCAGCTCAAGAAAAGTAAGATTCATTTCAAATATCTCTGCAATCAAAATATATGCAAAATAGCACACTGTAGCATAATGAGAGCCAAAGAATAAAAGTCATAACCTGAGGACCAAAGACATTAGAAAATGGCAAGCAGGGTGGAAAGCATCATTGCCTGCTCTCTCTCTTCATCTCTCAAGCCTGACCCAGCTTTAAGGTGGTTTAACTCTGCTTCTGTACCCTTTTGTCCCATAGAGGCAGCTCAATTGGCTTCTGAGCCTCATGCGGATGGTCTGGGCCCTTGTAAACCTTTAGGTGGTTAAACAATGCTCTACCGAGCTGAATAAAACAAATATTAGTGTAAAGCTAGGCAAAAATCAATCAAAATCATGCCGCAGCATTCGAAGAAACAGCATAATTGTTGCCTCAAGTAAAAACTTCTGGAAGAGAATGAAACCACCGGATTGCATGCAAAAGCTGACATAAGCATTGATAATTAAAGGCTTGACCTTGATATATTCACTTATAAACCTTACCAATTGGACTGTATTAAGAATTATTAAGATTGTATTCACAAATTAAACTGCTAGTTATGCCAAATTGCTTTCCATATCTTTTTGGCTCATCTCAATGGTTGGCACTTGGCACTCTGTACATGATCCGTACCATTAAAATGCACTT